ATCACCATGCACTTGGCCACATTGAACCCCATTTGCCATGTTGACGCCCACTTGCCCATCCTTGACAGATCCCTTTGGAGAACCTCACAATCCTCCCTGGTTTTCACCACCCTGAACAACTTCGTATCATCCGCAAACTCAGACCCCATCAACATGTATTTATAGTTAGGATTTTTGGCTCCAATGTGCATCACTTTGCACTTGGCCACACTGAATCCCATTTGCCACGTTGACGCCCATTTGCCACGTTGACAGCGACAGTTCCATCTTGGCTGGATTGTTACGGCAGGGATTGGGTGATTCAATAACAACAACATGCCCTGCAGGACTGATGTCATAACACTACCCCACGAGCTGTTCTCGACGGACGGCAGAAGAAACAGAAACAAACTCTTATACTCACAACTGGGCTGGGATGGTGCCGCTGAACGGCGAGCGGAGGGCCAGGTCGCACACTCGCTGCTCCTGAATGAAGAGTTGTCCCGTCCAGGCACGATACAGCGCTAAAGGTTTTACACACCGCCGGAGACAAAATGACACAGAGAAGCATAAATACACGAGGGAGGTGGAAGCGTGGCAAGCCACGAGCCCCTCAGGTCTCAGCCGGAAGGAATCATAGAATCATAGCATGTTAGAGTTGGAAGGGACTTTGCAGGTCATCTAGTCCAACCCCCTGCACTCTGCAGGAGCAGAGCCGAAAGATAGCCCTACAACATACCCGAAAGATGGCCGTCGAGCCTCCGGTTGAAAACGTCCAGCGAAGGAGCATCCACCTCCTCCCGAGGCAGACTGTTCCACTGCTCAACCACTCTTACAGTTAGGGAGTTTCACCTTGATATTTAGCCGGTAATGACTCCCTTGTAATTCCCAGCCATTAGATCTAGTCTTGCAATCCGGAGCAAGAGAGGATAGATCTGCTCCACCTTCTACATGACAGCCCTTCAGATACTTGAAGACTGCAATCATGTCCCCTCTAAGCCTCCTCTTTCCCAGGCTAAACATGCCCAACTCTTTCAGCCTTTCCTCGTAGACTTGGATTCCAACCCTCTCACCATCCCGGTTGCCCTCTTCTGGACATGCTCGAGCTTGTCAACATCCTTCCTAAAATGTGGTGCCCCAAACTGGACACAGGACTCCAGGTGAGGCCTGAGTCCATAGCAGAACAGAGCGGAACGACCACTCCCGTGATCTGGACACAAGGCTTCTGTTAATGCACCCTAAGATTGCATTAGCTTTCTTCGCAGCCACATCGCACTGCAGGCTCATGTGTAGAAAGGAGCTACCACCAACCAGTTCCTCCTCCTGTGAGACTCCCGGCTTCCTCTCGGACGAAAAGGAAGGGTTTTATCTTGTCAACTTTTTACCGGTCTGCTTCTGTTTAACGGATAATTTTTATGCCGCTTATGTCCCATGGCTTGTTTTAATGGTTTGTGTTTTGGTACTGCATTTTTAAAAGTTAAGACAACAGAGAGAGGCCTGCCTGACTGTCCCACCAATCAAAGAAGCTCGTCTGATGGGAACCCGAGATGGGGCCTTCTTGGTGGCAGCACCATTATTATGGAACAGTCTCCCCAAGGAGGTGCACCCGGCCCCCTCACTTTTGATCTTCAGCAGGCTTCAAAAGGGAATTAGATAGGCATATGGAGCAGAGGTCCATCAGTGGCTATTAGCCACAAGGTATAGATAGGAACTCACAGGTTGGGGCAAGTGATGCTCTGTCTTAGTGCCGGGGGGGGAACAGTGGGAGGTCTCCTAGTGTCCTGGCCCCACAGCTGGACCTCCTGATGGCACCTGGTGTTTTTGGCCAGTGTCTGACACAGAGTGTTGGACTAGATGGGCCTTTGGCCTGATCCAACATTGGCGTCTCTTATGTTCTTATGTTATGTTAAGTTTTATTTAGGACTGCATTTGAAAAAACTTTGCTTTTTCAATTTACTGGTAGCCCTAGTTGGAGGGGCTACCAGTATTATTATTGTTTTATTTACCTCGTAAGCCGCCTTTTGTTCTGCGAGGTAGAAAGGTGGCTGACAATATTTTAAACAAATAAACGATTGTAAGCCGGCTCAAGCAGGACTCTGGAGAGGCCGCATAGAGATATTTTGAATAACTAAATGAATAACTAAATATAAGGATTCATGGAATTTATTTCTCCTTGGCCTCCTGCTCCCGCTGACTTTTACATATGGTCTTCACCTTCAGGATCAAGGGAACCATTTAAGTAAAGGTCAAGGTTTCCCTTGCTCAAAAGCCAGTCAAATCCGACTCTAGGGGGCAGTTCTCATCTCCATTTCCAAGCCAAAGAGCCAGCGCTGTCCGGAGACGTCACCATGGTTACGTGGCTGGCATGACTGAATGCCAAGGAGCACAGAACGCTGTTACCTTCCTACCGAAGCGGTACCTATTCATCTACTTGCAATGTCTTGCTTTCGAACTGCTAGGTTGGCAGGAGCTGGAACCAGAGACGGGAGCTCACTCCGTCTTGCGGCACTCGGGTCTCGAACTGCCGACCGACAGACCTTCCGGTCTGCAGCTTGAGCATCCTAACCTCTCAGCCACCACTGACTTTTATATATAGCCTTCACCTTCAGGACCAAGGGAACCATTGGGGGCCACCATCATGGAAGTGTCTGCCCACCTGACCTAGCCAACAGGAGGCGACTGTTGGCCACCGGTTCTTCGGTGGGGCTTCTGCTTCCCCATGACTCTCCTCTTTCCTCAGACCCTATTCCAGGGGTTCCCAACATGGTGCCCGTGGGCGCCCACGGATGTGCTCGCAAAGTGTTTTTAGCAGGGCTCTTTTTGTAGAAAAAGCCCAGCAGGAACTCATTAGCATAATAGGCCACACCCAACAGCAGGAACTATTAGCATATTGGGCCACATCCCTGACAGCACAGCTCATTCGCATATTAGGCCGCACCCCCACCTTTCCCTTCTTATTCTGTTCACCTTGTTTGTTGTCCAAACCCAGGGCCTTTTTTGTAGCAGGAACTCCTTTGCATGTTAGGCCACACACCCCTAATGTAGCCAATCCTAATGAGTTTCTGCTGTTGGGTGTGGCCTATTATGCTAATGAGTCCCTGCTGGGCGTGGCCAACTCGGGAGCCAGCCGGAACTCCGTTCCTGTGCGTTCCTGCCCAAAAATAGCCCTGGTTTTTAGAAAGTGAGCTTCTGCTTGACATGCTGAAGAGTTACGTTAGATGTATGCCTAACCTCCCTCCCTGACATTTTGTGGTTGGGTCTGGCCATGCTTCCCAAGTACTTACCGTGATTCGGCGGGGGACACAGACGTCTTCGCAGGATCATTCCTGCGGAGACAACAGACATGCCACACCGTGCTGTCACCAGGAAGTGACGCGGTGGCAATGGGGCTCGAAACTCGATGGTGCCATCGAGTTTTCAGCCCCGTTGCCAGAGCGTTGCCCAGCGTCACTTCCTGGCGACGGCATCCTGTGTTACAGGGAGGAATGGTCCGGCCGGGGAGCATGTTTCCCCCGCCGGATCACGGTAAGTACTTGGGAACCCTAGGTCTGCCTCTTTTGGCAGCCATTTTGTGGCTGGCTCTGTCTCCCGTGGCAGCCATTTTGTGTTTGTGCTCGCCACCCTGTGTCAGAATTCCAGAAGTGCTCACAGGCTCGAAAAGTTTGGGGACCCCTGCCCTACCCCCTCCCCGCTTTCTCCTGCCGCTACACTGACCCTTCCATACCTGGGGACCTTGGTCGGGAGGCGGGATAACCCCCCCCCACTTACCTCTTCTACAATCTTTACGTCAACATATTATTACAGCGAGAAACGAGACATTCTTTTTTTAAAAAAGCCAAAAGAAACATACCAACTCAGCAAAGGATATCCTCACCTGTTGTCTTACATTCAGCTCTACGGAAAAGAAAAGGGGGGGAGAGGGGGAGAAAATAAAGCGGCTTAAAAAACGAAGCAACGAAATAAAAGCAGAAATGACTTCTCTCTTTGGTAGAATTGCTTAAAGCAGCTTACAAGCTCTTGCGGGTTAACGGCGACATTCTTCTAGGTGCGCAGTCCTGGCGGGTGACCGTCACATAAGGGCAGACTGCCGGTGAAGCTGACCGACTCCACAGCCAGAAAATTCATGCAAGTTCTGAAAGGACAAAAACGGGACTAGAGATGTAAAATTTCCAGAAATTTTGAAGCACGGAAAAAAGCCCGTTTCTCCCCTGGTTGTTTTCAGGGGGAAAACGGAAATTTTCAGAAAAATTGAAAAAAAATTGCTACATTAGCAATTCTTTTTTCTTTTCCAAATTGAAAGTCATTCTGTTACTTTAGGAACATAAAATATGACTATGGACATTTTCACTTGGCATGAAATTATCACAACTAGCATATTAAAAATATAGTGTATCCAAACAATTATTACAAACAGAATACACATGCAAAAACAAAACTGAAACCTTTTTCTTTTCTTGTGACAACAGGAACTCCTAAAGGAAGAAATGCATCTTGTTCTTGCATTGGAGAGTTCAGTTGGTAACCTAGGACTTGCTTGTCCTCAGTGCACAGAAATTACATCAATCTGATACCATACATATTTTTTAGAAATGATTTGGAAAATATTTGAACACCTTGTCTTAAAATATTTTATTCATCATGTTAAAATGAAATGTTCCATAATCAATTTTTTTTCTTTACTTTTTTCAATTTTTCAGGGAAAAAAAAAAGGCTTCAGGAAAAAAATGGGGAAAAAACGCCCCCCCCCCCCGAATTTTTCCAGTTTTTTCCCGGGCCTTCAGATCTCTAAACAGGACACATGTATGACATTTATTTATCAGAATATTTATATCCCTGAAAAATTTGACTGGGAAAATTTAAAGGAAGGCAAATTTAAGTTATTGTTATACGGATAACATCTTACAGTAACTGTGTATGTATTGCTTGTTATAAGTCACTTAGATAGTGTGGCAAAGAACAGTGTATAGTTTTGTGACCTCTTAACCAGTGTTCCCTCTAAGCTGAGTTTGTGTGAGCTAGCTCACAGTTTTTTAGCCTTCGGCTCACAGCTTTTTGTCTTCGCTCAGGAAGGAGGGCTCCAGAGCAAACTGATTTTATGCAGCAGCCCAATCGCTCGCTCGCAACTTGAATGCCCGTAGCTCACAAAGTAGAATTTTTGCTCACAAGACTCCACAGCTTAGAGCAAGCGTTGCTCTTAACATTAGTAAGGTATTACTGAGTTGCAGAATATTGTCATAATCAGGTTAACCTAAATCACCAAATGTGAGTGTATAAGTTTTGGTTTATGTAAGCATATAATAGAAGGCATGTTTATAACCTACTGTATTGTACCATTGTCAAGAAAGTTACAGAATAAAATATAGTTATTAAAAAAAAGAATATTTATATCCCGCTTTACAAAGATCGTCTCAATAACCTCAACAACCGCCAGGTAAAAATAGATCATTATTACGTTACTAACAGGTCCCGACCAGAGAGAGGTCCTTACTGGTGGTGGCTCCTTGGCTAAGGAATATCTTCTACCCCCCACACCCAGAAATTTGCCTGGAGCCTCATCCCTTTAGTTCACTAGACCAGGAGCTGCGGTGGCTCAAGTGGTTAACGCTAAACTGCAGGCTGTGGAAGGTCAGTAGTTCAGCAGTTCGAGACCCGAGTGTGCCGCATGACGGAGTGAGCTCCCGTCTCTAGTTCCAGCTCCTGCCAACCTAGCAGTTCGAAAGCAAGACATTGCAAGTAGATAAATAGGCACCACTTCAGTGGGAAGGTAACAGCGTTCCGTGCACCTTGGTGTTTAGTCATGCCGGCCACATGACCACAGAAACATCTTCGGACAGCGCTGGCTCTTCAGCTTTGAAACCCTAGAGTCGGATTCAACTGGCTTTCGAGCAAGGGAAACCTTTACCTTTACCAGGTGAATGCATTTTATTGGCTTAGGCCTTTTCCTCAATGACCTGCAGAAGTATTTCTGTCTTGTCATGAACCAACACTGCTGCCCCCTTGGATTGTAAGTCTTATCACTTTTGGGTTTTGGACACGGTTGGTTTCTGCTGTTTTTAACCCTGTTACCCATTTGTTTTTACCTTCCAGGTCTGCCTCTCTTATTTTAGTGCGGTTTCCTATTCATCTTACATGGCTGCTCTGCTTTCGGCCTTCAATTCTCTGGGATTTTTATTTCCCGCACCTAATTTCCCAGCTTATTTTATTATAAATTGCTGAATTGGAGGAGAAGGAGGAGGAGGAGATTGGATTTATACCCCCTGCCCTTCATTACCAAAGGAGTCTCAGAGCAGTTTACAAACTCCTTTCCCTCCCCCTCCCCACAACAGACACACTGGGAGGTAGGTGGGGCTGAGAGAGCTCTGACTAATTCTTATACAATTTTTAGATGTACGCTACCGCGCTTAGACTCTGGTGACTGGGGAGCTCCTATAGCAAGCTCTAATGTGACTGGGTCTACAGCATATAATAATTGGCTAGACCCAGTCACATTAGAGCTTGCTAATGAAGAAATAATTTCTTCTAATGAAGAAATAATTACAGAATGACAAACCTGAAGAAGGACACGCAAACGGATAGTGTACTATAACTCCATCGTTTGTCTGTAACTAGTACTGTATTACTCTGTATGTACTGCTAAGCTTTATATTGCATATTGTAGTGTTATTGTTGTAATTTTGTTAATAATTGAATTCTAAACATTGCATATAAAAACCAACAAATATTGTTTAATTGTACACGGTGATTTACTGTTTTACTAGCTATTATAGTTTTTATTATTATTATTATTATTATAGTATTATAGGAGCTGCGGTGGCTCAAGTGGTTAAGACGCTGAACTGCAGGCTGTGGAAGGTCGGTAGTTCAGCAGTTCGAGACCCGGGTGTGCCGCATGACGGAGTGAGCTCCCGTCTCTCGTTCCAGCTCCTGCCAACCTAGCAGTTCGAAAGCAAGAAATTGCAAGTAGACAAATAGGTACCACTTCAGTGGGAAGGGAACAGCGTTCCGTGCGCCTTGGTGTTTAGTCATCCCGGCCACATGGCCACAGAAACGTCTTCGGACAGTGCTGGCTCTTCGGCTTTGAAACGGAGATGAGCACCGCAACCCTAGAGTCGGACTCGACTGGCTTTCGAGCAAGGGAACCTTTACCTTTACCTTTAGCTATTATACACCGTGGTCCTGTTTGTTGTAATATATCCTTCAGACTAACACGGCAACCCCTCTCGCCAGTGAGAATAGGTTAGATAGCCATGAGCCGGACAGTCTGACCTCGTCAATCTTTGGAAACTAAGCCGTGTCAGGCTTGGTTAGTACTTGGATGGGAGGCCACCGAGGAAGACCAGGGTCGCTACGGCAGCGGCAGGATAACAAACCGCCTCTGAACGTCTATTGCCTCGAAAAGCCCGTAAGGGGTCACCACAATTCGGCTGCGATTTGACACACACACACAGAAAAAGTTCAGATAATTGAATCTCTCCAAGAGGTCTCCAAGGCCTGCCGATGCCACCAGCCTAGATGGTTGTACAACAGTACACTGCGAGACTCTAGAATTTTCCGAATCCCCTCTTAAAGCCAACTAAACCAGAGGCTTCCTAAAGCGACTCCCTCGATCATAGGCACACCTCACGTGGCTGCCCAGGGGAGTCAAGTTGGGTACAGCCAGAAAGGGACGCTCAGGCATCGCTACGCTGGAGAACCTTCTAGAACCTTGTCAGTTAAGCCTGCATCTGTCCGGGTAGAATCTTGAGGCCTGCCAGGTTGACCTCATATTAGCCCAGAATCCCAACTGCCAGGTTGCCACTGAGCCACAGTGCCACTGAGCCACAAAAAACGAAAAACGCTCAGGAACCTTCTAGATGGGCAGCTGTGTTCGCCTGTCTGTAGCAGCAGAAAAAACCAAGAGTCCAGGAACCCCTTGAAGACTAACACAGTATGTGGCAGGAGAGGAGCTTTCGTGAGTCACTGCTCACTTCTTCAGATACAGCGACAATGGGAGTCCATCTGTCCTATTTATTGGAGTGATTTCTGATGCCGAATGACATTAGCAGGCAAATGACAACTGCAGGTGAATGCCTATAGGAGGCGTGATTGGATTTAGGTGAGATATGCAGAGGGGTAATAGGCGTGGAGAAATCAGCATTGGTGATGAGACAGGAAACCAAGGTCTCGATTCAGTCCAGGTGGACGCCTTGTCTTGAGCTTCAGGAACCTTCTATACAGTGTTGGACTACGTTTATTGATACCGGGAACAACATTTTTCCTATGGAATAGGCAAAAAAGGATGTTCTGAATGTGACGTAATGTCTTCGTTTGTAACAATGAGATATAAATTTAGAGAGAAAAATTGGAAGAACTATGGAGAATACTTATTTGAACTTATGTATAAAGGTAAGTTAACGAATTCCAAAATTTGTTAGTTTTGCACAACGTCAATATTTTTAATTTTCATATACTTATAATACAAATTTATTTTTAAAAGGTGTTCTAAGCCAAGACCCAAGGTTTTCTTCGGATGTGAACGTATTCATTGCAGCTTTCATTCTGGGAAGGGCTGAATGCATTTGTTTACTTTTGCCGGGTGTTGACTCTGTACTTGCGCAATGAAAAACCACATTACAATGAACTACAAACTCACCGCTAAGCAAAAAAGCAGTTCTAGAGCCCGAGAAGTTCCCCTCTGCACTATAACAGGCGGAATCGAAAAAATCCTGCTGCAGCCATCGCCAAAAGCAAACAGAAACTAAAAGTGCTCGTAAGTCAAACGTTTGATCTCAACGCGAAGTGGCCCAAAAGGAAAGCCTCACCCGTAGGGTTTGCTCTTGCACAACTGTGTTTAAACTGGGTTGCTACAAGGGTTGCCAACCTCCAGGCGAGGCCTGGAGACCTCCCAGAATTACATCAGATCTCCTGATTACAGAAATCATTCCCCTTGGAGGAAATAGCTGCTCTGAAGGGAGTACTCTATCGGTCCAGGCAGGAGGTGACCTTGGAGAGATGCTGCCAGTCTAAGTAGACTAGGGTTGCCAAGTGTATCTTCGCCGGGAGCGGGGGGCTCCTGGCCGGCGTCTTGTGCGCGCGTGCGCCACACACACGTCACCCGGAAGTGACGGGAGGACACCAGGAACGCTG